GGGCACTCTCTTGATCTCTGTTGATGAAATTGGACAAAGTTTGCTGCATGCATCTTCCCGGGGCAAGGGCGTTAACGGACTAAAAATCCAGTTTCCACCCTTGTCGAACTAGGCAGGAATTCCAGAGTTACATTATGGCTGGACTCACGAGTTTATGCATAGCCCAACCGAAAAAGCGTAACGAACTCAACACCCGGTTCGAAAAGAACATGGATTTCAATGTGCAGATTTCGGTCGACTGAAGGATTTACAACGCATGTATACCGCAAACTGGATGTCGACAAATATTTTGCAAATGTTTTCATGTTTTTAATCAAGGTGCTCAAGTGATCTGATGCATTTCACGAGGTAAGCCCCGTTTTAGAACAATATAGATCTTGATTATCGACGAGATCGTCTTGACTGGGCGCCGCCATTTTGTTTGAAGCAATTGCAGGTCATATGTGACGTGGAATCTGGTTGGTCAGTTGGAGGAAATGATATAAATTGTAATAACCACTGGTTGCGCTACGACCGAGCCTGGAAATTCCGGCCTAGTTCGACAAGGTTGGAAACCGGACTTTTATTGTCAGTTAACGCCCTTGCCTCGGGAAGATGGGCTGCATGTAGTCCTGTACCATGAATGTGGAATATATTTATTTGATAAAAAAACAAACAACATATATGTATACAAAAGCGAGTCTAGCCAGTTCTAGCTAGCTCTATCCCACATATCAGCATCGTGAAAGTTATTTAATATTAGAGTCGAGAAGGGTGTTGTTTAATATAAGATTTTATAGATTTCATGTTAGTCCAGGCTGCATGATGCATCTCCAACTGAATGGGCCAACTCTAACAGCTATGTATGCGGATATAGCGTCAACTGTAGGGGATGATGCTCCTTTCTTCGACACTGTCAAGAGGTGGGCAGTGGTGTTGAAGAGGGGAAGGGAGATCATAGAAGATTACCCACGATCAAGAAGACCTTAAACTGCCACCACTAAGGGAAATGTTGTTAAAATACATATGATTATGGATGATCGACAACTCACTCACCACACGTCACACAACCAATACAGTAGGCATCTCCTATGGGAGATTTGAGAATATTCAGAGGAATGAACTGGGTATAACAAATGTTTCAGCGTTCTGTCTGTCTCTACTTAGTTGGACAAAACTCAGAATCCTTCATTGACATCTTCGGAAATACTTGTTGAATGGGTATTTGCCAGTGAAGATAGTGACTGGTAACACTGAATTAACATCGTTCATATGACATCATTATCAATGCAATTATATAATAACTTTTGAATACTTTAAACACACAATTCCTATCTTGTCCATTACGTGGTGACGTCAGAAACCTATTTACACTTGGTTTATTCTAAATAAGCATTATTGTCACCAATAACATGTTTTCGAAGTTTAATGTATGCATGATATTTTTTTCTATTTAAGGAAATAAAATTGTGGCTTACATGTTCTGTTCTGTTCTGTAGGTTGAAAATTCGTGTAATCCTCCTTGTATCTTCCCCACGGTATCGTAAAGGCGAGCAATATCGCTTATTTATAACGGTAGTGTGAAAAACCAATAGACAAACATTTAGTCTATGTTATCTCATATCACACAATACCCTTCTCGACTCTAAAAATCAAAAGAATAACAAATTTCCGATGCTGCTAGAGCTGTCTAGACTTGTTTTTGTATACGTTTTTAGATTTTAATTTTTTTTGATAAAATAAATATATTCAACAGTCGTGGTGAAGGACTAAAGGACCAACTACAGTGGCAAATGTGTGTATGCACGTGTTTTGACACTGTATGCAAAAATCGTTTCGTTTGGATCTGGAGTATCAGGTGTAGGCATGTTGTGATAGCGTCAGGTTTCCACATTTACAAACACATAAAGCCATTTATATACTAATGTTGTACAGCCATTGTCCTACACAACAGTAAACTGTTTACTGCTGAAGCATCATGTTTCCATCCACAGTTATCTGTTACCTTTGGGTATTAGCCGAGTACTTTAATCCGTATACCGAGTATGGTGATTGAATGTTCATGCCCCTGTGTCCAAACCAGCTTATACATATTTCTTGCATACTTGACTGCCTGGAATCACAGGGACGGTGGGATAGCCCGGTTAAAGCGTTCGCTCGTCATGCAGAAGACATAGATACAATGTGTGAAGCCCATTTGTGATGTCCACTGCCGTGATATTGCTGGAATATTGCTTAAAGCGGTGTAAAATCATACTCACTCACTCCTGGCATCACAATTTCATTGGCAACGACTAGACACCACAATGAATGAGTTAGCGTGTGGTCGTACATGTGTTGTGGTCATACGTGACCAACTGACATACATGGTGAGGACAAAACAGATAGTGACAATTACTTGAAACAGGAATAAAATCACTGAAGACATCACCCTTGCATTACGATAATTCGAAATCTTATATGGATATTGAGAATGACCTCTCACACACACTATGTTGGCATATCAAGAGTATTACTTCAGAATACAAACATTTCAGAACAGAAACCCGCTAACACGTTTTAGAATGTAAACAGGATTTAAAGTCGCTCGTTTGAATACCAGGTTGTGAACATTACACATGTGCTCCGCGGCAGCCTGACAGCTCAACTGAAGGTAGTGGTGCTGACCTATGAAAATGTCCCCAAGGGAGTACAGGGCTTGGCTTATAGCGGTAACGCTGAATACCAATTTGTGAACATTGTTATCAGTATCAGTAACTGACTGTGATAACATACTTTAGTCCTCGCCACTTGAAATAGAAATATCGCATAAAGTCTTGATCACGTGGTCACTGCAAGCAGTTATGTTAAGCAGTACGTGCATCTCCAACTGGGACAACTGTGGGAAACAAAGCAGGCAAGACGATTTGGGTCACTCACTCACTCACTTTAAGAAACGCACAAACATCATTGATTCAATGCTTCAACACCAAGGCCTCTGCAGGGAAAATATGAAACTTTACCACAGATGGATAGTTTGTAACTTTACCATTGTCATTGCACATATGAGTAAATCACACAAATATAGCATGACTGAAAGTTTGAGGAACACGTCTCATCAATATTACAAGATTTGCAAATATGATCTTACTACATTTGTAATGGAAAAGAGATTGTTGGTGAAGTAAAGGAAATTAACCTATTATCGCATAGAGACGCAAAGAATACACACCACAAATACAGAATGCCTTCCGTTTGGTAAGGTGGCATTGGGCATCGAGTGTTTCGGGTCCTAACATTTCATTCGGAAATGATCTCACTGATAACAATGATGGGGGACCGCAAACATGCTGTTGCTTTAATATCTATATATATCTACGCACAAAACAGCGATCACCCTGATGCCTAGAGCCTTGCAGGACGAGCGTTGTCACCGTATGTACTTCTATCTTTCCTTCTTTTTATATAAACATGCGACGTAACACATGCTTAAATGAAGAAAATGAGAAGAGGCAGTCTGTGAAAAGTAACGAAAGTCGCCGTCGTTTTTGTTCAGTTTCCAATAACAAAACACGTGTGAAAACGCATTAGTGTTCAACACTGACACAATGGCAAATGATAACTTGGAACAAAGATGAAAACAGAAATGCCGTGATAATGCAAAACTAACTCTTACATGGTTTCGCCATTCGCTTGGTAAGCATGGACAGTTCACATTCAGTCTCCTGTCCGTGGTCAGTGTGTCATGTTACCCGGGCCAGTCGTTGCGTCATTAAGGTCAGCCAGATGAGCATCGGCCTTTCCAAGCAGGGTTACGAACTGGGTTATATTCAAATAATCTTCAGAATCACAATAGTAAAAGGGGAACCGTCTCGCTTTTAGTGATGATACTTCTTTTACTTAAAATTGGAGCGCTATTTGCGAAACAGGTTAACAGATGGGCGATGGACTGAACATGGTAATACTTGACTTGGTTATTCACGGATGACTAGAAAACGGCTGCCCATGCCTCCTTTCTGCAGGATACCAAAGCTCCTTAAAAAATCCGTACAGACAGAGATACATTGCAAATGTACTACCAAATTCCTGTCTTAAAGCTTAACCATAACCTTTCATAAAATCAAGCTAAGGAAGGACCTTCTTTATGTAGTCATGGGACATTAATAGCATGTGAACTTTCAAGAACTCTTTTGTCAGTCTTACAAATGAAACAGGTTCAGTTTCAACTTTGTAAACCACTATCCAACACAACAGGTAACTTAAGGTCAATCTTCATACCTTGATCCAGGAGGCATGTGTCTCTAAACATAATTCCCTTTCACTGATTTACCCACATGAACTAGCAATAAAAGAGACAAGTGAATCTACCTTATATTTGTCATATTTAGATCTATGCATAACGAATCGGGGTGGTAAAAAGCTATCCATAAGGCAGTATGACAAGCGGGATGACTTCAACTTTCCAATACTCAACTTTCCCTTTTTGTTGAGTGGTATGTCAGCAGCTTAAGACATTGGTGTCAACATTTCACAACATGCGAGGTACAATCGAGCATGTTCTTGCCACAAACTTCAAAGAGCGCCATACGACTCTTACAAAAAAGTTGTTTGATCAGGGTTACATCATTAAACGTGTGGAGGATATTCTCCAATTTGACAAAAATAATGTCCGCTGCGATTGCCTTTTGTGACTTCACCACCATTTTATCACACAGGTTGTTCAGATGAACGCCTGACTTACCTTTCAAAGGTGCTTAATACGGATGCCACCTCTGGGGCGGTCACGCTCACCTGTTCTCATAAACTTGGAAACATTTCTATTTAATAGTGATTAATAAACACGCGCTTATGGTTTAGTCGGATTGGTCCAATGACTTGACTTTCAGCAGAGAGTTCTTGTGAATATAAAAAGAGTTTTGTCGTTCATGTTACCTAATATGGCTAACACAAATCTTCTTTCCTCTTGTTACAACCGAAGGAATGATGCACCATTCACCATTCTTACGTTAGTCCCTGACCAATATGATGTTATAAACGTGAACATGTAGGTCGGTTCAGGTATGCATCTTTATTTGACTGTCGATGTCTTTACACATTTAATATTAACAATGAAAATGGCAAAAAAATGCATAACATAATAACTTCGAAGTACGTATCATGCCTATTTTCTCGCATCTAAGTCTAAAGATTTTTCATATTATAATCTTTGAAGAGCGTTGAATTAATATTTAATTTTCTTAATTTTATCTTTGTCAACATTATAATTGTATGAGCACTGATTGTTCAACATAGTGTGTTGCCTATATCTAGTAAGTGTATGGGTGAGGAAGAGTCCGAGTGAGCATTGTTTTTAATCGTATGTCTTCCCATCAATTTCATCCGAAATAATTTTAGGTCCTTTTGATTACTTTTGTCAACAATCTTCGCGTCTAGATGACCTGTTTATTTGTTATCAGTTCGATGTCTTTTCCAAGAGCAGGAATATAACATCTTTCCTACTAGTGACGTAGAAATGACGGTTTTACTTCAATACCTGTGGGTTGGTTTAGGTATACATGTCTGTTTGACTGTCTTTACACACATTTTACTGAATATGGATATGGAAAACAATAATTGCATAACATAACCGTAAGCTCGAATTAAGTAGCATGCCTATTTTCTGAGGACTGTTCATGTTGACGATCCTTTGAAAGAGTTTTTGAGTTGTCCGAACCTGTGATATATCTTGATCTAATTATTGTTCGAAGGGGTACAGCTTGGTTTCATTGGGGCAGTGTTAACCTCTTGCAGGCGCTTTATCCCATGCCTTGACGTCCTCTATTGTCTGCGGCAGTTCTCGCCCCTCTGGTTCAGGGAGAAAATAATTGAGCGCGGCTGTTATCAAACAGGCTACCCCGAATATAGTTCCTGGAGCCCATGGTGCAACGGCTGCCTGAAATAACACAATGGAGGGTTATTTTCATATTTATCATGCTTCATGCAGGATGATATGACACTGTTCTATGACCACGGTAATGTTTGCTGCTGATTTCGGAAAGGCAATTTTATTAATGGTTTCTGATATACACATTTGGATTATGTAAGAAACATTGAGGTTACATTGTGTACGTAATTATAAAGTAACTTACAAGAATGGATATAAAAGGCGCGATCATCCCTCCAACCCTAGCAGCCGTGGAACCAGCACCCATACCGGCCGATCTGCCAACCAGATTAGTAACATATGTTAACATGATGCAGTGCATATTTCACAAATAAATTATGAATGTAGGGATAGGTTATATAACGAAAGGTCTGTGAGCTATACAGGAAATTGTAATGAAGTATATTTCGATATTCGTATGATACAAGACAAGTACATGTTTGAAAGAAATGTCTAAATTTATGAAAGCGCTTATGGCAAATATGGCTGCAGGTGTCGAAAACAAAATTTTGCTTTTATGTGTTTTGACGAATCCTTATATTTATTTCAACTGGGAAACGCTTAGAAAGGAAATAATAAGCCAGTTCGAGATTTAGAAAAATAACAACGTGGTATCGACAGCAGAAGCCATGACATTCCTGATCAAATGACGCCATGTCGATAATGACAGTGGTTTAATGCCGCTTTGGCAGGTGTAAGGAGAGGGAATGAGAAGTCACGTTGTTGCCTGCTCTCAAAACCTGGGTAAAAAGCGAATATAGCCGGAGTGATTCAGATGGATATTTCATTTATTGGCGTTTTTTTAAATACCATACTTCTTGCAACTACTTAAAAGGTTGTGAAATGTTGTTTTTATGGTCAGATGGAATTGCAAATGTCCGTTTGGTTGAAGGATAAATCACATCAGTCGTATGTCCTGCTATCAATCTTCACTGAAATTAAGGATAGTGTTGGTATCCCATTCCCTTAGGACGACAATATCAATGTTCTACCTGGTAGAAGGGTTTGTAATAAAAAGGGTATGTAAAACATTTACATAAATTTTATTGATTCCTGATGTGTAAATTACCTGAGATTTGTCGGATAGATCTCGGGCGCATACACAAACATAGCATTGAAACAGGCACTGTTACCAATTTTCCCCACGAAGGCCAAGGCTGTGGCCGTTACTGATGCTGCTTGTCCAACTGAAAGTTATCAAGTGTTTTGTTTTCATTATTACTTAATTAAGCTGAGCCATGCTCATAAATAAAATACAAAGTCTTTTACAAATACAATCAACAAAACACTTTCAATAACCCTACAAATCCGACGATATCAAATGCAAGACTATCATGCTATACAAACACACAGATCGATACGTGAAATATTTTAAATCATGACCTTTACTCAGGAGAATCACATTGTGATAATTGAGCTCTTCTTAATGCACATTGGAAAACTTTTAGTTCTTTGAGATGATAGTGCGGGCAATTATTTGCGATTATTTGTCAATTCTTGGGCAATACTTACAGTGAGAAGGAATACACCCCAACACTGTACATTGCTTCGTCAACAAACTCACCCACTAATGCCCGAACTGTTGTAGCCAGAAGAAGACATACACCGGCAAGTACGTGGAAGAACATGAAGAAAAATCTCCTTCCCCACCTATAAAGTAACAACAATGGGAATTCATTGTTCAGAAACGTGTTATGTGTTACCATTAAGATTTAAGATTGCACTTGATCAATATGTTTCATGATATTATCAAAGAGACAACTCTTTAGATAGTTGTAGGTCCATCCTCTATTATCCAATATATTATATCTCAATATTAGCATAATATATATTCCGGACCCAAAAGCAACCTTAATTTAGTTTTGGAAGCTACTTCACCATCTCCATGTTTCTAGTCACCAGCTTAGCACCGAATGTCTCCCTGTAGGGGACTTGAAATCATCAACCAATTAAACAGACTCTGTGAACAAGAACACGATATCGGTTTATATCATAAGAAACGGCCTCGTACGAACGACGCATTAAAATGTTTTAAATAAATAACTATGTAATTCAAGGCGTTTTTTGTGTGTAACCATGCAAATGTGTTTACCGGACCACAGTTTTCTTACTGGCTGAAAAAAGGGTGGGTAGGGCTTGTGCATTATTGCGCTGAACGATGTCATAGATTTGGTATCGTTCTGGACGGGATTTGTTTGCGTTGATGCTTAAATGAGCAGTCCGTGATTTTTTATTGTTCACCTATATACACGTAACATAAGGGAAGGAAGACTTTATGTGACGAGGAGTTACCAGTTGGGTCGGATACTACCGATGATGCCGAGTGTATCAATCACAAAAGAACAGTGTAGTATCGTGACCCCAAATAAGGGTATGGCAGTGAATTGGTATTTGTTATCCGACATATTAGTGATGTGATATACTGAATAATCGAAGATGGTGTTTGATCAACATATTGTAAATCACAACACTATGATACAGGTGCATCAATAGCAGCACCTTTAAAATACAGTATCACAACTTCTCGTGAGGACGATCTCTGCCGTAGGTCACATGGCTCAAGATAAGCAACCAGTTTTTGTTTGAATCCGTCGGACGCTTACCCGCGACCGTTGGATTGTTAGCCCGACAGCTAACCGACTGAGCTACGTCCACACTGTTAAACTTAGTGCAAATTTACCTAGTCATGCCTATTACGTTACGGAACTGAACGAAAAGGGTCGAAAAGGTGACGGACACTTACGAAGGTAACGGGTAGGCATGGTGTCTCGTGACTTTAGTCTACGGACACTTACGAATGATCCCGATGCCATTTGGCACACTCGTCCCATTCCGTAATGTACAAGATACCGAGTGGAGAGGAATGAGCCGATATGACGCGAACTGAAAACTAATATCCAGGCGTCAGACGTCAGACGTCGAACTCGCGAGTACGCATGAATGATATGGTATTTAATAATTCGTCGGGTGATATTTGTGACAGAAAAGTGTGGTAGGGAACACTGTAAGGATGATGTGGATAACAGTAAGGAACGAGGGAGGAATAAGCATGACTAGTGACGACGCAACGGTGAGTTCGCTTTTGAATCAGTACTGAAAAAATGTAGCCGGTGAAAGTGGCTTGTGTGAATGTTCCAGGACAGTTTCCAATTGCCTAAATATTCGACACAAAACCATTTCATCCTTTTTACTCGACGTTTTTGTGTGAAGAATATTAGGAGCCGTTATATAATATCTATAATAGCCACTGAACGAGTACCTAACCATAATGATCGTAAAGGGGTGATTGATCGTAAAGGGGATCCAAGGGCTAAGGATAGACTTCGGGTAATCTAATAGCCTCTAAACGGGTACCTAACCCTAATGATCGTAAAGGGGTGATTTATTGTAAAGGGGGATCCAAGGGCTAAGGATAGAGCTCGGGGTAACCTACCCTAACACTGGCGACATTTGGATGTGTTCAGCGCCAATATAATATCCCTAATAAACTGCATTCTTGCGCATAATAATGAAAATTAATGAACCGAAAAAATAATATATTTATATTAGTTCCCATTTATAACCATTTTATCCACTTGAATTACGAGAAAGACGAAATAAAAAATAAATAAAAAATAAAAGTGCTTTCGTAAACTAGCGCTTGCTCTAAAATGCGCTGCCGCAGGCTATAATTGGTAAACAAATACTCAAAACTCTCAACATCGAAGGGCGTATTCAATGTCATTGCGTGTAGTGATGATAGCTCACTGGGAGGAGCTTATGCACACTCGATGACCCCTGACGTCACAGGGCATTGTTTCGCAGGTGTGACTGGCAACAAAATACTACAAATTACGTCATAGGGTGTGATCACGTGTTTGAAAAGTTTGTGGTACTGTATTCTAAAGGTAGGCCCATTCTATCTTACTACTTACTATTCCATTGTCACACTTTGGCCCTCTCTGACAAACGAGTACCTTTACACCTGGACATTGCGTTATGTTGCCAGCCTTTATGAATAACGTTCTACATGTATTGTCCATATATTATAAAAATAGCATGTGTCTGTGTATTGTTTTTGTAATATTGAAATACAAACACAGATATGTCGCTCTTAGATTGTTTCTAGATTGTAAACAAACGAAGGCCGAAGTGATGTTGTAGAAACATTGTTTCTACCGTGACGAAATAAGTACATCCTAAGTTAACATAACTTGATAGAGGACCTGTCGGAAGGGAATAAAATCGGAATTTCATTTAATATGAGAAAAGGTTAAACTATTTGTGTGTCAATTTGCTATTTAAAACATTATTGAATTAAACTTCGAATGTGATTCTTGATCAGCATTACATACCTTCTTCCGACAAACCAGTTGAGGGGACCTGCTGGTATTTCAGCCAGTGAGTTGAGGAAGAAGTTCAGATATGGGTCTTCACTCAGGGAGGCAGATGTCAGATAGAGGCTGAAGTACGTCAAGCTGTCAACCAACCTGCAACATTGTCACATTGTATCCACATACATTGTCTTTTTAATATACAGAGTAAACTAAAATGTTTCAAGCCATTTCACTTATATTCACCTTATATGGCATATTGTTATTCAGATTCTTTGAGACGAAGTGACTGGTCAAATTCAATCAGGATTATTGCATGTTAGGTCCTCAGCCCAAAAGAAAAGAAAATAAGTTGTACACATACTGTGTTTTTAATGTAGATTTAACTGCTTTTAATTAAATTTGGAACGAAACGCTCATCGTGAGGTTTCAAAAGCTAAATTTAGCTGTACATTGAACACACAGTATGTATATCTCAATTCTACAAAGACAAGAGAGAATTTGAACCCTACGACAGAGTTTTGAGTCGGTTGTCTGAATTAAGGAAACCCTGATAATATAAACAAAATATGGCGCAGTATTTGCAAAAATATAGTTTTTGACACCTTTATACGTCACATATAGAAAATGCATTGAAAGTGTGCAGCACATCTGCTTTATAAACCACAATAGAGTGGGACCCTGCAGAAAACTAAGCAAGCCTTGAAATGTTTTCTCCTAAACCACGTCATTGTTATGATGTCATCCGCTCGAATAATACACCCTATCGTGCTCTTTGTATCAACACATACTTGAAGTATCGCAGTAACCGCATACCTGCATTTTATAATCTGTAATTATACATATATTTATTCTAAAATGCCTACCGAAAATGGGTGAAAAAGAAGTACTTGTCGGTAAATATTAGCTTTCCTAATAGTGCGGGTGTCAAATCGACTGTTTCAATCTGAGGTGGTTATAACGATATGATACCTCTGATAGGCGAATCAGAATCGTGTATATTCCAGATTCATAGTAGAATACCAATTAGCACACAGTGTTAATTAACACGCTTGTGTCATTGGTTACACATTAGAGGGATATTGACGGACATCATGAGACGCATTAGCGGTATAATTTAGTGATAAGGATCCTCAGTTTGGTTAAGATTTAGCGTATTGGTATACGACTGTGACAATGATGCATATTCAAACGCAAATGAAAATATATTGACAATTTGAGTGGGCTATTTTTTACAATCGAAACATAATTATACATAATCCATGAGACAAAAGTACTTACTCTGGCGTAAAGTTTCGAATAATGATTCAAATATTAGGATAGTTTTTATTATGCCACTACATGCATGTATAAAGTACAATGGAGACTTATGTAACAAACAAATTTGTACTAAATCATGCCACTCGAGATTGCAGGTCATTAACGACAATATGATGCCATCGACAACCATACATTGATTATGCGGTTCCTTTGCAACAATATGTACCTATGTCTCAGGATCCACATTTAAGGGGGCTAAGTGTCAGCTTGGCTTATGCAAATCAAATTGTGTGTCCTATATCTTCCTCTTCCAGTGAAAGAATGAATGGCTACCCACAATGATGGGTTAATCATATATTGTCCTAACTGTTTATCACGTTGGAACCCTGACAACGCCCTTCCCTATAGTTTTAATCCCAACATACAGCTGCATGTCTGCATGCTCACCAGGAGAACCACACGACAGCACATATCTTCAACATAAACTTGGTCCGCACCAAGTCAAGGCAGCTGTATTGCACGTGTTCTGTGTTTTCTGATGGCGTTTCCACATATTTTCCTTTGGTGCTGCTCAGTTCAACAGATTCTTTCTTCGTGTCGATACCGGGAAGTTGAATGTTTGTAACGTCAACGCTGTTCATCTTCGCTGCCCTCTTGAACAACGCTATGGCTCTTTTGGCCTTCTTGTTCGTGATCAACCATCTCAGGGACTCCCCCAAAAAGCTATGGAAATAGAAACATCGTTTGTCTATTGTCTGACATTTATGATTCATATAAGTAAAGTCTGCGTGTCCTTGTCAGACGCTGACTTCTGCATTATCTTGCTTTTTGCCTGTGCTAAAGAGTTAATCACCCTGAGTACATCAATGATGCATTGTGACGTCATTGCCATTGAAGACGTTATCATTGTCTATTTTATTCATGGCACAGCATGGTGAACTTTAGGAATGAGGTGTTATATTGTCGTTAATGGTGTTGCTGCACAATACATAGCGCACAGGATCGTGTGACTTCACAAAATCTCTCCACTGATAGAAGAAGACTCTAACTTTAGCACGTATTGAAAGCTGAGACTTGTTCTGGTAACACTCAAAATAAGCGGGTGTAGACATACATACATATACATTTAAAAACAATTTGGTTATGCAGTAACCAAAAGATTGTATTTGAAAATGCTCTGATCTGTGTAGGTTTGCAAAGGTTGATTGACTGGTACAATGGTCATGGGTCGTGTTAACATCAAGTAGCTGGGGTATGCAACAGATGGCGGGGCAAATTCTTATCACTGGTTTCGCGAAAACAGACAGGACGTGCATGAAGTTAAACAAGAAATATATTGACATTTTACTTGTATTTTCAATACCAACATTACATGTGTTTGCCTCGTTTTTTTACACCACAATATCTTCATTTGCAGTTCTGATAGTTACTGAATCATTTACAGATTCTCTGTTTTCAAACTGTTCGCTAATTATATCAGGATCACAGTCACAATTGGCCAAAAGAGCTCTAATGGCTTCCTGTTCATGTTTTTCTGTTATATATATATATTGTTACAATTTTCTCCATGCCTCCATGCTGGTATGTCAGTTGCGGGAATGAGACAAAGTGTTCTTTGTGAATCGAGGGTAAAGCTAAGCCGTCTAAATGCATAAGCCCTGTCCACAATATGGTCAGACCTTCCTATGGATGTTGGATCAGACCCCGCAGGGAGACAATAATTGACAGGGACAACTGTTGATTTCAGTAATAAGTGAATAAGAAAATATAAAGATAAACTGACATTTCGCATCATTGACAATTTATAGATCAAAGCAATATCAGATGGTCCTACTAGCCTGGCAGAAACTGGAAATTGGAAATATAAACATGGATGCTCCATTTACATGGAGCGGGGGCGGTCGGGTAGCCTAGAGGTTAAAGCGTTCGCTCGTCACGCCGAAGAACCGGGTTCGATTCCCGACATGGGTACAATGTGTGAAGCCCATTTTTGGTGTTCCCCGCCGTGATTTTGCTGGGATATTGCTAAAAGCGGCGTAAAACCATACTTACTCACTCACTACATGGAGCGTTTGTATACAGCTCTCATTTGAGCGATTTTCAAAGTTGGTACTGTAAAAGTGAAAGTTTGTAATGCTCTGTGTACTTGAAGATCCGAACACAAGACTGTATATTCAGGGACATTCCAACATATATGCTCACAGTACCGTGAGGAGTTCTTTTACCTTACGTGAACAAGAATGATCTTGTTTGTGTATGGGGATTGCACTTGTAGTCATTCTTTTCTCATATCACTCTTCCCACTCCATTTGCTAAATACTCAGTGAAAGATAAAGCAGAATAAGTTATGTCTGTCCCATGTGCTTTTCTAAATTTAACCCAGCTTCCCTGGCTGAGAGCCTTTTTATAGGACTCCAATGTCAGACACAGCCTTGACCACTTGCTCACTGGCAAGGATTGATTCCGTAGGTGCCTACCGTTTGTTGCAGCTTTAATACTGAAACAACTTGAAATATGTATAAACAGGTATTATTGTGTGTGCGTTAGATATACAACATTTAGTTATACCATGTCAGCGTAATACGGGAGAAACGCCAAATTGGGACTGGTATCTACAAACCATATATATAATACATCATAGTCGTGGATCGTTATTGGAACCATTGACCATTAGCTCCTCCAAGCAATATTAGTGTACCTTTTAGCTGTATGTTATAAAGCATTTTTTAAATACACATTCATTTTTTCCTTATACCTTTCAACAAATATGGATATGAACAAATCTGAACTCACAAGATCTGTAGGAGGACATTAATGGACACTGAAACGAAACAGAGTTGCAAAGTTCTCCAGTCCATATCACGTAGCAAGTAGGCCGTCCCTGTGAGGAGTACCGTTGAGATACTCCACGATAAGGTATAGAATGCGGACAGTTCAATACGTCTGTTTCTTGGGAACGTCTCCATTAGCATAGTGTATGTGCACACAACAATGCCCTGGAACAACAGAAAGACTGATATTAGTCATTGCACTGGCAATGATGCTGAGTGCTATTTTAATCCAGCAGATTAAAATGGAATTTGAATAACAAAATGGTGACACATCTATCACTTACAATAATGGTTCCGTGTTGTTGTACATCTTATACATGTCATACATAAAGGCCCGACAAAAGCTACAACTGCATATATGTAGGTTTGAGAGATGGAATGAAGATGTTTGTATTTCAGTGTGCATGACATCATTTGTCAAACATTATCAACTGAACTGATGCAAATGCTTATACAACTGTAGCGTGGAAACATAAACCAGTGAAACGTTTACCTGTTGAAAAATGCCATTCAACAATCTCAGAGCAGAAAAGGCTGCGATATTCGGGGAGAAGGCTAAAGCAAGACCGGCGCCGGTTGTTAATAAATGTGACACAACCAGGAACGGTTTCCTCCCAAATTTGTCCGACATCACCGAGACAGTTGCTGCGCCAATTCCCTGCCCCACGATGAAGAGAGACTGTGGGAGGCGGGCGAAGAAAACATCCCCACACACAAGATCCCACTATTAAAAAAACAAAAACTGTTTAGCTTTTATAACTCGTTTGTGTGTCTTTTCCTTGGCTTACAACTTTGATGCCAGTTCATTTATGATACAAGCATTACATTGTATGTGTTATAGTCGATGTAATGAATTGTAATTAAAGTGTGAAAATACGCCTTACCTCCGACACAATGGAATGATCTTTCTGCACATCATATGTCCAGGCACTACAAGTATGTGTTGAGGTGACGTTGGTGGTGGTGTTTTGTACTGACACGTCACAGGTGCCGTAGTTAGTGTTGGTGTTGTTGCCATAAAGCGGCGTCACTTCACACTGTTGTTTCACGGTCTGAGCTGTTGAATAATGCATTGCGGTGTAAACCCTGCGTCAATATAACCATTCCCTTATTAGATTGCCAATGTAATTTGTATTTAAAGCGAATGATTTTATTCATGATTGTGTTATATATTTCTAATGAATGTTTTCATTGACTTCAATCGATATCCATTACCAGACATGGAAGCTATGGTCTTGTTATTTGAAGGAACAAACATACCGATGAATACGAAGTTGAGGAGATGGAAGCAAACTGACATATTTCCAATAGCAAGTAGAAGAGCTTGAAACAGCTGATAGCGTCCCAGACTGCCAAGTAGTTCTAGGATACTGTCAATAGTTCGCGGTGGGTCCTGTTTAACGTCTGCCATTTTCAAAACTCTGAAACAAAGCTGATGATTAGTACTCTATGTATTTAACAGATAACTAAAATGTCGCAAACCCAAGGACATTGATATGATATGATTCTGACCAACCAAGGCACAAAGTCAGGACGACCATGAGATTCGAACCCACGATTTTCGGTCCTGACACAGCGACGTTCGGCACCTAAGACGACAAAGCCGTTCAACGACACGAGTCTTTAAATAACTCCATCATATCCATCATAACGTTTGATGTTTGAATGTTATTTACATGCATATTTCTGATATATGAAGCTGCATTATATTAAACTATTGGCCAGTATATTTCAGTTTGTTTTATATGTCAGGGGGTTTATAAGCCCTAGCTTGGGGATAGATTTGTGACTGGTTCCGTTTTACACTGACGCTAATCTTTCTTAGGGAATCGAAATACTTTATACATCTTAGGGCATTGTCTCCAGTAGCACCGAACAAGCAGTGAACATTTCCCGTTGTCCCTTTACAATCGAAGCGCACCCTTTCAGACGAATTTTGCTGTGTTTTCTGTCCACGATTTATTGCCACACATATACTATGATAGTGACACCCCACAAATGTACAAAGTTGTTCAAAATTAGACATGAATGCTCGGTACAGGTTTGAAAAGATTTGTCAAATGATTTTATTTTCAGTGTCACACAGGGCTTACATCTAACATATGCTCCCGTCACCGAGTGTGTGTCTATGTAACTTAATCTATACACACAGTAGAGATAGTTGACATAAATCAATTCAGGGAGACCCATGTATTCCTCGACCGTGTATGTGCATAAACGTGTTAGACGATACATGTCTCCTTTTAAAGCATCAGGTTTTATACCATGAGCCGGAGGCGAGTGGTATAAAACTTAACGAGGGACCCAGAAACCCTATGTACCCCGAGTGATCCTGCTGCAACGAATTTACCTTACCGACTATTTTTAATATGACATTATAAAATAATTCAAACAAATTCAAAATTGATTGAAAACATCTGTTCGATTGAGTTGAGCTAGTTTGTGCTATGAGGGATTTAATCCGTCTTCAGAAATCCACGTACAGTCTGACTTGGTCGTGGCGGAGTATAAGAGATTTATTCGCCCGCTGGCAAATATATACATTACTCTCCAAGGCCAGATATACAGTATTTCACTTGGACAAGATCACGTGGACAAATGAGATATTATCATTCTGACATGGAAGTATGACAAGTTCACTTATCGGAAGTTCAAGTACAAAATGCTAATTAATTTTTGTTTATAGGCAGCTTATGCCACATATATAAACGGATTATTTTGTTATTGTGCGTGAAAGTATTGGCAGTTAGGATCCTTGTAAACGTGACCTTATAACTACTTTTGTGTGGAGACACATACATATTGCCAACGATTAATGACGATATCGTTGAACATGGATATTTCAAGAACTGAATTATCTGAAATAATAACACAAATTAGTCATCCTCTAAATATATGTGACTCTAACATATCCATAAGTACTAAATGTATAGACAGCCCACATAACAGAAAAAACTAATAATCATGTGTTATCTTTGAATTTAATATCACTCTTACTTGTCTTGTATTCCAATGTCCCAAACTTACATATAATCATCTACTATGAGTATTTTATGCATTTAATTCATTATAATATTTATCATAGTACATAACGGGTACATACGCCATATGTATTTAATTTATAAATGTTTCACGTATAAGTTCACGTGTGGTTTTGCCTGAATATTTAAATTCTCATGTTCTGTGATGTACATCGAATTCCTGAAAAAGTAAAAAAGTTATTATTATAATTATAATTATTATTATTATTATTTTTATTTTTATTATTGTTATTGTTATTTACAGATTAAAATAAAATGCAGCAAGGAGGGTTTGGGTGATCCTGGCACAGTCAGGCTGGTTAGGCTCATCATCGGGGCCCTTGTACCCTCTACACGCAGCCCACACAGCGAATGAGACTTCTCCCAGGAAGCGCTGCCAAGTCAAACCCACCCAGAACTTTTCGGAGAATGTGAAGACTCCCCAACACTGCAGCCTTCTGCATTACCCAAATTGTCAGAAGGGCTGTATTCCTGGTCGCAAACTCTCCCAATGTCAGTCAAAAAATTGGGAGGTACCAAACCTAAAGCACCGAGAACAATGGGGAGTCGGACAACTTGGCACTTCGGATGCAAGCGTGACATTTCGAAAGCGAGGTTCGCATATTTGCCATGTTTTTCCTGAATCTTGTCAATCACATAAGTGTCAAAAGAGACAGAAAAAATTCAATGATATGAATGGTTTCATTGGATTTATGAAAAAGGACAAGATCAGGTTTGTCGGCCTGGATACGTTTGAGGCTGTATACGGGCCTATTCCAAAGGGCTTTGTATTGACCATTTTCCATGACGCCCTCTACGTATTCCGGGTCGTAGCATATATGGACCTCTGTGTCAAAACCACACGCATGACGAAGACGGTAATAAAATGATCGAGCCACGCCATCATGTCGCTTAAGATACTGTGTCTGTGCCAAAGCATGACATCCACTGACAATGTGTTGGACAGTCTCATTAAATTCATTACATAATCTACATTTCATATTCACATTTTGATACAAAATCACACATTGACGGTTTCGAGTGGGAAGTGACTGGTCCTGAGCAGCAAACAGAAAGCCTTGTTTCACTTTTCAGGCCAGCCGACTTTATCCAAGCGAAGGACTCTGCAGGGTTGTTCACCTTCTCAACACACTGCAAATAAACTTGATGCAGTGGTCGTTCATATAGCCTGTCAATGAAAAACTGGGCCGATTTGATGTGGCACTTCTCTTGGTTGACTCTCATTTCTGTCCCATCAAGCAGTGCAGAACCATAAACATAATAAACCCTGACATTGAGATTATGTCCCACAGCCTTGGCTCGTTTTAGAAAACTGTGGAATGCCTTGTTTTCACTATTATTATTGTTGTTATTATTATTATTACTATTAGCGAGATGCCCTGCGAAAATTCGAGTTGGAATTAGTCTTCGGAAACCCATGCATATCGCAAGAGTCTCGCTGAAATGGTTGATGCATGAATGTAAAAGGGAGAGAGAGAGAGAGAGAGAGAGAGAGAGAGAGAGAGAGAGAGAGAGAGAACCAGACCCGCGTTAGTCTGTTTTTACGATAGCCATGAGATATCGTGAATCGACACTGTGAGGATAAAAGGTGTCAGTAGCACTCTCTCTTTTACAATGGGATAGCACGTATCACAAAAAAGTCGCGTTTACGGAACACCAAGAAAGGCGAATCTAGCTTTAGATCCTGCTTTGTGAATAGTGTTGAAAGTGTTATTAGACTGCTCCTCTTTACATTTGTCGACATTTCGCAGGTCACACCATTCTTTTATCATTGATATCATTTGGAAAAAAGGTTCTATTGAATACATTTAAAATATTACATACCCTAAGGTTGAGGTTGAGGTCGCAGGAACAGTGTCTAGTTCGGTGCTTCTTCGCCCATTGCTTGTATTGAAAGTACATAAACGTGTCCTCAGAATACAGGTGTAAATTTCCGCTCGTTCTGCAGTTATAATCTGGGTTAGGTCAAATTTACCCCTTACACGTTGGAGCACAGATAAACTACGTTAATAAATCAACCACTCAGATGATAAGGTATATGACTATGTACTACCGATCTGTCATAGCAGGGCAGACTAACTCTGTTATCCAGTTTCGAAAAGAAGACAGTGGTTGTTTCGGTAATAATCAGACAAACAAACTGATTTAATCTGATGACTTGATAACGATAACACTCACACTGAGTGAAAGTCACAAAAGGCAGCCATTCTTCGAAACAAATACAGCTACCACAAATACTGCCATTCCTTCATTAAAGTTTATTTGGGCCAAGAGCACATTGTTGTACCATAAAGTATCTGCCAGAAATTCCTGTTTGAAAGTTATCTATTGTCGAGTTAATTGATATACAAAGTACATATATTCAACTGAGACACCGAATGTAGGTATACCCGGCAGATTGTTTGCTTAAAAAGACAATACTCGTTCGTGCAATTTTCAAACGTTCAAAGATCTCAATGCAGACTTTTGAACAAATACGTCAAAACGCCTACAACCCAAACCATATTCAGACAGGTATCCCCTGGTACATGTATACGCTGGCTCAGTTATAGCTGGTAGACATTCGAAATGTACTATGTTCAGTCGTTGTGTTTATGTCGGATAGCCCAGTGATCGTCCAACCTACATAGGTACCGAGCAGTATTGCTGAAATAATGCTAAAAGCGACATATACAAATTGTAGCTGATAATTTGAAATTCTTAAAGGAATCATCCGTCATTATTAGGAACCTGAAAAAGTGTCGGATAATATATGTCGGAGAATACAGCATTTCATATGAGACAATTCATAACATTTTCGTACATGGCAACCCAATATTACACCCCATCATATTGTTATAAGAATAAACGACACATATGAATTTGAATGATGTGTTGACGAATCCGCCTGGTGATCAGCGCAACTGCCCCCTCCAACAGTGCTGTGCAGATTTTCATGTGTTGTCCAATCTATGAAGATTTACGTTATATCCTTTTTTCATCATGCATCGTACATAATTAGCGATCATTTTATAGTTTATCACATTTAGAACAATTTATATGTTTAATATCAAGTGACAATCTGCAAACCTTTTGATATTCTTTCTACGGGTGTTGATTCACATTTCAATGGCATTTCCCTGAAAGTACAGATTGATCTAATCTTTAAGCGAACATTGACATGTTTTTATGGTGTGGTCATGTGGTTGACGTTGAATTTGCCCATGGAACCAAGAAAACTTGTCGGAATTCTTACTGCCGATGGACGGATGTCGGATTTCACAGAGTCTACTGTGTGTATGTAATGAAGAGATTCCTAATTGTACATTATATTCATAGTGTATCGAATTCCATGTAGATAACACTCTCTGTTTGTGTCACTTAAACCTGATAAAAACTATACTTTAAAAAGGGTTTTCTAAAAAGAATAACACACTGCCTTTGTATCTTATACGTTGTTTTTTTCCAAAAGTGACGAATATGAAAACAGCAATATTATTATATAAGCCCGAGGTACAACCACGATTGAGCCTTCGAATTAGTGTTCAAAACATAGCCCTATTGTGTGCTTGCAACATATTCTTAATGCACGGCCGCATATTCTAAATTCAATTATAACCAGAAATGAATTATAATCCGAGACAGTAACCAAGGGTTAGCTGAAAACAAGCAAAAAATGTTTCTAACTGCCGGATGTATCATCATCATCAGAACATCACCGTGAGTATCCTAGTAGTACGCTAAATCTAAACAACACGGACGTGTACATGTACCTTTATCGTAGGGGCAGGGCGGGTAAACCACTTGAAGAAACTTCGTATCATTGGAAACTCTGGATGAGATGAATTGAACTAACACGTGCTATTTACCCACAAGTTGGTTTGAAGTGTATATCTGCAGAACAAAATTCCGGAAAATATATTTCTACGGAAATATCTGGCAGAATTGTTTTTCAGGAATCTCCCCTTATTTGGAACAATTATTTTAAGAATGCTAATGAGCAGTAATTTTGAATGATAACATTTGCCTTTGTATTGAAACATTAGGTTTATGTGGTATGTCAATCCATTTAGCAATGAGACTTCTATCCTGTTCCAAATGACAGACAACGGACTGATGACTATAATACAAACACTGCCATTGCATCAACTCACTTGGCTTGAAATACTTGATGACCTGCACTGGACAAAAATCATGTACAAAATTTACTATGTCCAGGTACAACGTGTGGCTATTAACTGAATTATCATTAAAGCATTTTCACATGTATCCGTGTCAACATCAATTGGCTATTGACTTCATCGGCATAACAAGTACATGAATACACATGTATTACTACTAGTACCGAACAGTTGAAACCCGATCTCAGCAACCCATGCTTGGCGTTAAAGGCGATCAAAAGGATCGGGTGATCAGGCTCGGTGACTTGTTTGTACAACTCAAAAAGGTTAGGTTCACTGGGGTCAGGCGTGTGGTAATCTTTTCTGTGTTAAGGGTCTGAACGTGATGATTTGGGTTTTGCTCGTCTTACAATATGACTATCACAATATGTTTTTCGCGTCCTATATCACACACCAAAAACATACAGTAGCGAATCTAGCACATTGTGTCAATGGTATTTTCTCTATAAACTGCCATAACAAAAGAGAGATGGTAGTCTTTGTATGTACATAAAAATTATGTTAACAAGCAGTATTAGTAGTTATCGTTTTAGGTACCCTCAATAATTTCTTGTTTCTCTTTTCAATGACACAAAGCTTTGATGGCATCTGTAACAGTGATGACAGCTTCAGTTGGGTAGATTGGTGAATGGCCCATTAAACGGTAACATGTAATACACCACCCTATGGTCATCTGGACAATCTACTCAGTGTCGACAGTTACATGTCAACAGAAGGGAGAAGGACAGAGTAGAAGAAAGGTAGAGGGAAATCATACTGGTACGTGTCGCGGCTGCACATTATCTTCCAGTAGTTGGTGTACATGTAAACGTAGAATGTTTGAATAAATCTCGACACCTTGTACACATGCCTGTTTCAGGTTAAGAGTATATATTCCATGAAACTATTCTTCATTATTTTGACGCGACAAGATTTAAACCACAAATGGATAGCCAAATGCTTGCGATCATGTCTTAATTATTACCCGCGGAAACTCTTACACACCTTACAAGGGGTGGCTTAAATGTTCTTAGGCTAACTAAGAAGGTAGTATGGTACACAGTTTGCATGTATTAAGTTCAATACTGTCCATGCTTACAGACTGCATTTGAACCAAATGCACAAACAGGAAGCATATTTTCAAAGTGACTATTCTCAGTTCATGAATGTAGACAAACATTCATGTGAAGACAGCATATGCACATATCTGGCATATCGGGCTCATCATAGTTTAATTGTGGCCTGTAAATAATCGAGTCTGGAAAGGACAACCCAGTGATTATGAGAAACCATCCACGCTGTCGGATCACATTGAGAGGCCATCAACAAAGTCACAGAGCCTGACCATGCGATCCATTAATTTGCCTCTCACGGGCAACAGCTTCAAAAATGCAACTTAAAGATTATGATAATAATCATGATGATATGGCATATGAGAGTCTCCAGATTGGCCAATCGTCTCTAGGTGCACTTAACAAACCGCCTGTCAAGACAGACCAGGGTAGCTTCATGCCGTTTTTATTGTCCATGGGAGTCAAAAGGAAAGTCCATCTCAAAATTAATTTCTGTTGCTAACTGCTGTTTGTATTTGACTCATGATATTTTCATGTCATTGGCATGTTGATGGCTATTGTCGGCAGTACATATTTAATGTTTTTGTAAAACGTTTTAACAATAAATATATTCATCAATGTATGTGAATTGACATGAATAACACAGATAATAAAATAACTTGAAATAGAAATATACATTGACAAGTATTACTGAATACATTATTTAGCATGAATACGGTTATTCTAAACCTTTTAAACACTATGTCGATATATCTACGGCAGTATGTAACAAACTTGATAATATCAACATTTCAGAAAAAAAATAAGCTAAATGTTATTTATTTATTCTGAGATAATAGTTATATCTTGGCAGAAATACGGTATTTTTCAGAATAGTAATTAAAGCCGCTCGTTTGAATACTCGTTTGTGAGCATTGCTCTGCGCATGAGTAATTGAATGTGAATAACAGACTAGTTTTTGACATTGTTACCACTGATCATTTTCGAGAAACTGCCGCGCAAATAGTACCATCACATTTACAGAGAGAATTACACATTCCCCAGAGGGGGGTATTTTAAATGTAGAATTTAGCCCATGATACAGATCACAAAGCTAAGATATACCTATATACGTTCTAATACATTATCTGGGGATATCCTTCGCTATAGGCAATCTCTATCTCAAACTTAAACATAACGTCTTTAGAACATCGACCTTCAAACAAGGTATAAAACCCTATTCTTAATCTAACAATTATACTTTCTATTGATCCGCAAAATATGTAAGTTCTAATAAATGATCTAGCACTGCCCCTAACAAAAGGGAAACTATTTGAAACTTTAACATAATGGTTTTAGAACATACTGCAAGTAGCATAAGTTAACAGTAAAAAAAGTGAAAAAGCTTCCTACCTTGAGGACGGTGAAAGTTGCCGAGGTTTCAGGTCTCAATCAGCGGAGGCAGAGTGTAGTACACATGAACACAATGTAGATACCGTCGGGAGCCGTATATATGGTTTGATTATGTTACAAAACATAAAGATCACAATTTTAGATAGTGTCGGCAGTATATCGGCTGCTTACATGGATGATTGTTTACCTCTGACGACTGACTCACAGTCGGGACTGACTACGTGACGTGAAGTCGTCACATCAATCGCTGTCTCCGCGAGTGACCATCTATGTCTTGTCAGGCTAGGTAGACTTGCATAGGCGATCCCCAGGTCAAATATGGGAGTTGGACGCATATGTGGAATGTAAACATATGTGGGGGTCAGTTAGTGC